ATTATACTTTTACAAATATGGCGGGAGAAAAAATATGACATTTTATGTGACAAGTAATCTACACGAGCAATTTTTCGTATGTGACAACTTTTATTTGTCATATAAAAGCTAACACGCTAGCTTTTCAGCAACTGTATTTGCCAATTGCCACACAAAAATTGCCCAATTTTCCTCGTCTACACGAGCAAATAAAAATTGTCATATCAAAATTGTCACATCAAAATTGCTCGTGTAAACGGGGCTTAAGTGTCTATTATGCTTCTGAAGCCCTATTATGCTCGAAATTATGCCGGCATAATTTACCCAAGCCTAGCTTGTAATCCATTAAGTTTCAGGTTGTCCGGAACAAGCGGTTGGAAGACATTCTGCCCTTAAAATAGAACCCATTTCAAATGAATTAAATCTTCATTCAGACAAAACTTTCCCTGTAAAATTTGCCAGAATTTTAGTATTGAAGCACACTTACTCGGCTAAGTTGAATGCACTTAATTAAACAAATGAGTTAACTTTCGGTGCTATAAATATAACTCAAGTTATAATAAGTATTTAAGTTTTGTCGCTCTCCAATATCCCTCGCTTCAAGTGATAAAAATTCGTTTTGATAAGATATATTTCCTGACCTTCGGCATATTTTGACCAATGACCTTTAGCCAAGCTCATTAATTAATCACCTATTGTGAGGAAGGATTAAAAAGGATTAAAGGAGGTGCGAAGTGTCAAAATAAACGGGCATTCTATACAGGGTGTATAAAAAAAACGCAACCTCGGAATTTCCCAAGAAATCGACATGGTTTTAAAGACAAAATATTTTAGGCTCCTGGGAATTTAAAATAGCACAACAGTCAAAATTATTGCACACGCGAGTGCATAAAGCAAAATTTATGCATTTATTTAATGCACAACAACAGTAATATGATCTATTAGCAATTCGATTTCAATTCCCAGGGGCTTAAAATCTTTTATGCTTAAGGATTGCACTAGTGATTTCTAAGGGAATTCCGAGGTTGCGTTTTTTTTTATACACCCTGTATCATAATAATGATCCCGACGAATAAATAGTTGCAAAACTATACCTGCGCGTGCGATCAACTGTACCCCTAGTGTTGATCGGCAATCACAAGTTAGTCATGATCAGCTACAATTTTGCACTGAGAACTCAACCTTGAAGCAGGGAAGTAAAGCATCAAAAGACCTGATAATATATACGTATGTGTATGTATATCAAATTACTCTGTGATTCCTCACTTATAAAATATAACCTAGTATCATTCGTGATGACAATTAAAACATATGTAGTTGAAACTTGAATATATGAAAACGTTTTCTGAATTGCCGTTGTTTTGTATTTTGTAAAGATTCTGAGTGGATTTTTCAGAATCTTCAATACTGTAAGTAAAATACATGAAAACAGTAAAAGTTCGCGCAACAATCCATTATCAATCTTCAGTCATTATTTCCTATACAATCTCCGTTTTGATTGTGTAATTATGACAGCACACCTGCAGATATAGCTTTCTGAATGTAAATATGACATCAATTATGCCAGCAGAAAAGGAGCTTCTTTACATGCCGAACATATAAAGCCATGGCCCATGGCGAGATTTGTTTTTGTAACTAAAAAAGAAGCGAAATAAACGAAATACACTAAACGAGCTTACAAACTAAGACAGAGAAAAGAGAGAGAAATACACGGCATTGATAACTTTCAATATCACGCGAAAAATTATTAATTATTGTCGTAATAGATTTTTTGAAGTTTAGTAAATTTCGTGTCCGCATGTCCGCGTTTTCCACTTGACTTGCATGTCCGCATGTCCGCGTTTTCCACTTGACTTGCGTGTCCGCATGTCCGCGTGTCCGCATGTCCGCGTTTTCCACCTAACCCGTTAAAGCTATATTACGCGATCTCCGGATAAGCAGAGGCAGAGACGGAAAGTCTTGTACAGACACGCCATTTTATCTTGGTTACACAAATGAGTACCCAGAATGGAATAAAGTGAAACCATACTTGCAGAAAGCTGGAATTATAGTAGTGGGACCAATAGATTAAAAAGGTGGTAGACTAAAAATTATAAAACTACCTTGCCATTACATCTTATTGATTAATTTATTCATTCATTTATTTATTTATTCATTCATTTATTCATGGAACGTAATATAGTTGAAGTAATTCAATTGTAATGATAATAATTTAAAATTATAAAAAGCGAATAAATGTATTTATTTTTGTTTCAAAAGTTCTGCTGTTCTATAAAATATAACTCATTTACTTAGCTTGAGACTGACTATACACAGGACCTGCATTTATTATATATAGACACATGTCTCCTGATGATCGTAGTAATGCGTGAAACTCGATCGGAGTAGAGACAAAACAACATGTTAAAATCATGCTGATTTATATAAATTTAAGTTCAATTTTTCAAATTGTTCAAAAATACGAATGTTTTCATCAAAGACGTTCACAAGCCATTTACATGCAACATTCGCCTCCGTGTTGTATCGGATAATAACCCACACCACACAGTGGCTCATTTTGTAAATAGTACATATAAAAGTGTCCCTCTACGAAAATCTGCCCTCCTTGCGCTCTATTAATTTCAAGAACGTGATTTTCAAGACCGCTCCCTACTTCAAACAAAATATTTGAAGATTAAATCGTGACATACCTACGTAGAGTGGGTCGTTGGGTCAACAGTGTAGATTATATAATTAGATACCATAAATTTGAACTGATGAGCAACTAAAAACATAAATTTGTGTATGCTCGGTTCGTACACGTATCAAGTCCGATTCCGTTAGGGGCTGTTCATATGGAGCAAGTCTGGTCCGGGTTAACCGGGTCGGGATGATTCCTTTAAAAAGCTCTTATCACGACACGACTTTGATGAACATATATACACTAATATACAACATTAATGACATTTCAAAGTTAAATTTTTCCAGTAACTGCAGTATACAGTTCATTCAAACGATCTTTATGGAACAATTTTCGTGACATGATTCATCTCGGCTACCTGGGCTGGCCCGAATCATATACACACGATTTCTGGTTCGATTTTCTTCTTCTAATGCATATGAACGAGTGGATATTAAAGTTATGAATGTTCAGATGAAGATACACAAACTCAGATCATTCGTAACTCATCTACTCGTTCACATGCATCAGAAGGAGAAAATCACACTAGAAACCGCAGCAAATTGCAAGTACAAACGAGCCTTATCAATGATTCAACTCTCTGATCCAACGGCGTAGGCTTGGCACTTTGCACTCAAAACACCAATCAGCGGGAACGACGAGCGTTTCGAATTACAAACGAAACAAAATACACTTTCATACTGAGATCGCCAACGTAAACGAACCATGCGTAAGCGTTTGATTCTGCTATAAATTTGCTGTCTCATCGGTAATGACACATAGACGAGAATTAATCTGGATATAAATCTTTAACTGGCTGTATAAAAGTTCCTCAGTATAACGCACTAATACACTATTACAAGCAGGTTATTGGTATTAGGGCCTATTAGCGCATACCAGTCAATCGTATCGTGCTTGGAATTGGAAAGATTAGAACCAAAAAGCACAAAGTACTTCAAACAGCAAAAAGGTCGGTATATTATTTAATTTGTCTGGGGCCGGTTGTATCAAGCCCGTTTAGCTTAAACGGTGGTTAAGCTCAAAATAGAAAGGAAGTCTATAGATTCATTCAACAACCAAACTAAAAGTTTTGAACATTAATAGAACAATAATGTTTACAACTACATTTTCAGTGCACAATATTTAAGTTAACTGATTCACTAGAGATATAAGAGTGTTATTTAATTTTGACTTATCCACCGTTTAAGCTAAACGGGCTTGATACAACCGACCCCTGGTCTCTATCTTAAAACATATAATGCGATAACGCAGTTGAAGACAATTAAGGGTAGTGTTAGGTCACAGAATTTTAACGGGCACAAACAGTTCAGTATAATTTGTGCCAGTGTACTAGGTAGTGCCAACAATAACAAGCTTTCGTTGGTAGGGATGTGTAACTACCTGAAAAATATGAGGAGAATTTCGACGTTTTGAGCGGGAAGTTAGTACGGTCTTCGCTCGAAACGTCGAAATTCTCCTCATATTTTTCAGGTAGTTGCATCCCTGCCAACGAAACCTTGTTACATATTGTACTGTAGTACATTGTCATACTATACGCGCTCGCTTCTTGCCGTACTGCCGAGTATATTGCGTATTTAAATTTAATATAAATGCGAAACGATCACACAACTACAGTCCTGCCTTGAGTCATGCCAGAGCCCCAGAGGCACACGAGTGAACACAAAAACTATTCGTGAGAGAACATGACCCAAGCAGCTACGGCCATCGGCAGCCTTTAATTTTGCGCCCGATCATGTTCTGCACATTGGATACACCTTTGTTTATTGCGTTTCTCACTCGTCGGTGAGCGGATTTTCCCAACGGACTATATATTACCCAAGGTGTAGCTACGATTTTAACGTCCTTATCCGAGAAGACTCGAAAGATAGAGGTTCGAGCAAGGATTGACCCTGGGTCTCCCAGTTTGAAAGGAAAGCGTAGTGAATGGTTTGGTATAAGAACTGTATTCTAATCGCGTACCCATGCACCGAAAGCTTTTAAACCATGTAGATTTTACTAATGAAACAACTATGTATATGAACAATTAGTTACGTATATTTTGGAATACCCTCGAATGCACTTCTATTTCCTCTTTCAAACACAATCTTTATACTAAGAAACTATTATTATTGACTATTATTACTATCATTACTATTATTGTGTTTGTGGTGTTACTTTTGTTTTTGGTTGGTCTTAATATGTGATTCCCGTTCTTGTTCACCATGCCGTTTCCGTGAAGCGAAAATATTGTTTTGAAATTGAGGATATTGTTTGGTATCTATCCCTTTCACTTCAATGTTCGGTATTTGCTTCTGCGGCCAGTGTTTCATTTCTAACTAAAAGTAAAGATTACGGCGACGTTTGATTGCGATCGAAAATCGAAAACGGATAATAGCGAGCTTAATTAAGCAAGCGATTGCTGAGGGGGGATTTGTATCAGTTTGTGGTAAGCGCTATGATGCAAAATGCCGCCAAAATTACAACCTCGTCCCCAGGGCATTTTGCCTCCACTAGGCACTACTGAAGGTCGTCCAATGTTGATAAAACAACCGTGTTTAAACTCACTATTAAATATCACATCAGGCACGCATTAATTGTTACGGGGGAGGGATTTCAAGCTCTATAGATTATAACAAAATAAAGGTTTGAGGAGTGTTCCATGCAACTATGTTTCATTATATAATAATAATAATAATCATGTCTATATTTTAGCTGGTAAAAAACCCGATCAGCTAATAGTATATTAGCTGGTATACACCGGGGACCAGTACAATATATAATATATAATATATAAGATATGTACAGTTATATATATACCTTATAGTTACCTAATTCTTACAATTAAATCTAAAAAAATCTAAAAAAAGCTAAACCACATGCTGTAATAATAAACACTAGACGCTACAACGATGCTCCCGAGCATCTGCGTCTAAAAGATACTTGAAAACATTGCTCTTAAACAATCGGACAATGAATTCATTTCCCGCAGTACATGATAGTGTTTGGAAAGCATTAACAACAGCTAACCAAGGTTGTGCACTCTCATCTTTGTTAATTTTGTCCTATCACAGCAAAGCTGGTTTTCCCGCACAAGGCGAATAGACAACTTGCATGTTAGACTAATTTTTGATTTAGGCAATACGTGCGCTGTAATTGTTACCGCACGTAATACAAATATACTGAAAGTATGCAAACTTCGCAAGGCTGTATTTTCTGTATTTTACAACATTTCGCAACCAAATTTTGAAATTTTACTGATTTTATTATGTTCTTTTTAACCGTTGTGTTTGATTCCCTTCTCTTTACTTAGATTAAAATTTAGTCTAACATGCAAGTTGTCCATTGCGAAGTGAATTTTCCTTGGCGGTATCGCTCATTTGCTGATGTGATAAGCGATGCCGACAAAGGAAAAAGTAAGCTTCGCGCGAACAAATTCGCCTTGTGGAAAACAGGCCTCGTTTGAACAGGGCCGAAGGCGATATCGGTCACTTGTATTTTGCCTACCCAAGCCCTCATGTTTTTCCTCGTAATGAAGAGATATGAAGCGGTTTTCCGTGTTTTGACAATTCAAATGCGAGGGATGCACGGCAAGAGATGACTGGAATCTGGGTGTTGCGAACTGGGATGATATACTACTGAGTGGTACTGAAGGCAAGTACTACAAGTGCACTCTCCACTTTTTTTTCAAAATGGAATGAAAGTGCCCTCCTTATTCTTTAGATCTGGATTAAAAGCGCTTATTTCGAATGATCGTCTCACTGATCTATAGCAAACCGGAATTTTAAGGTCAGTAAAGTACTACAACTGTGGTACTATTATTTTAAGTACTACAATTTTAAGGTCAGTAAAGTACAACTGTGGTACTATTTTTTTAAGTACTACTATTTTTTTTAAGTACTACTATTTTTTTTAAGTACTACGATTTTTTTTAAGTACTACTATTTTTTTTAAGTACTACTATTTTTTTTAAGTACTATTTTTTTAAGTACTACGTACTATTTTTTTAAGTACTACTATTTTTTTAAGTACTACTATTTTTTTTAAGTACTACTATTTTTTTTAAGTACTACTATTTTTTTTAAGTACTACTATTTTTTTTAAGTACTACCATTTTTTTAAGTACTATTATTTTTTTAAGTACTACAATTTTAAGGTCAGTAAAATACTATTATGATTGTACGATCATACGAATGTTAATTTCGGGTTGTTAGCGCAACTGATGCAAATAAAACGACTTGATAACTTCAACACCTCGTCACAGGCCACTTTTTGCGCGGTTTTGCCGGTAAGTACATTTTTTAATCGTATGATTATTTTCACAGGCAGGAAAGGAAAGTTTGTTCGTGTGTACGGCCGCCAAGGAAAACTTGACAAATGTACAAGAAATATACTTCGATGGTTTTGGCAAAACAAAAGACGGCCTTGACGTGAGATAAATGTTTAAGAGGAGATTTTTTGTATGTTACGTAACACGCGCTCAAAACTAATGCGTATAATATATCGCTTGAGGTTATGACTAAATTCAAAATTTTTATTTTTCGATACGTTTCTCAATCGGCAAACAAACTTAAAAAGTATGTTTAGTGCTTTATCTGTAAAATAACACTAAAATGAATAGATTTTAGATGATACGCCAAAGAGAAAATGATGTCTGAAGTTCAGTAAGTTTTAAATATGGCGTCAATTTTAAAGCATCACTGATAATTGTATTTTAATTGACAATTTCATTTAAAAAGTTGCTAACTCTATAAACTAGAGAATAAAGCTAAAACAAAGTAATTTTGAGAGGAACGCCAAAAAGATTTTAGGTTTTGAACACTTTTCATCGCAAATACGTGACATTGAAAAAAATTGCCTCTTAAAAACATTCCGTGCACACGAGCAACAAAACTTGTCAAGGAAAACTTGTTAACTGTACACACGAGAAAGTAAACTTGTCAAGGAAACTTGTCAAGGAAAACTTGTTAACTGTAGACACGAGAAAGTAAATTTGTCAAGGAAACTTGTCAAGGAAAACTTGTTAACTGTACACACGAGAAAGTAAACTTGTCAAGGAAAACTTGTTAACTGCACACGAGAAAGTGAACTTGTCAAGGAAACTTGTCAAGGAAAACTTGTTAACTGTACACACGAGAAAGTAAACTTGTCAAGGAAACTTGTTAATTGTGCACACGAGAAAGTAAACTTGTCAAGGAAAACTTGTTAACTGTGCACACGAGAAAGTGAACTTGTTAAGTAAACTTGTCAAGGGAAACTTGTTAACTGTACACACGAGAAAGTAAACTTGTCAAGGAAACTTGTCAAGGGAAACTTGTTAACTGTGCACACGAGAAAGTGAACTTGTCAAGGAAAACTTGCCCGTCTGTACGGGGCTTTAATCTAGAAATTCTATCAATAAATCAAAAACTTTGCCGACTATATCTTGAAATAATTTAGCAGTTTTCCTCATTGATATTCCGTACACGTCAGCTAGAGTTGCAAAAACTGTTCAACCTTCCTCCAGGTAAAATTTCAAGTTTTCAAACCTTCCTCAAAATAAAGTGAATTATGGCTTTTTCAAATTGCAAAATATATATGAATTATGTCACAGGCGGCCCAATCTCGCAAGAGTCAGTATAGACTTATAGTATAAATGTATATTATATTAATGTATATTATAGTAAAAATATGTCGTAAAATATAAATTTTAAAATGAAATTGACTTGCCTATTTGATAGTGTGTGTTCTCCTTTTATTCCTCCTTTGTTGGACTAATATTTTCCGAGACTTTGTACTAGATGTTACTAGTATACATGAAACATGATAAAGGCTAACTATTCCCGATCGTCGATCCGACGGCACGGCACTTCGAATCGAAAATTTTCACACTCAAATCGCTTTATTCTCCAAAACAATTCGCCAGCATGTACAACAAATGCCGTTCTTCGAAAATATGGAGGTACTTCGGCGAGATGTACAAGTTTTCGACCATATTTTAACAATGGAAATCAAAACCCATTTTATATTGAACTTGCCCAGGCCGAAAATTACTACGGCGAACGTCTGCGCAACCAGGCCTTCTTTACCGTTGGATTTACAGGGGGGAGGATGCCACTAATATATTCACGATAATATTTCGAATTAAAGTTTCCAACAAAGAGCCGCTGTATATTACTTCTTCATTAAATTTCTTCAATCTCCGTCGTTTAGTTTTCTTTTCTTCGACAACATCTCGAGTTTTATACAGTATCCGATCGAAGGAGTTTTTATTTTGAATATCAAATTTCAAATAATGTTAAAACAGTCGCTATCACGGTTGCGATTGGCTGGCTGTTACCGGAAATATCTGCTTCCCCCCCTGTAAATCTCAACGGTAAGGAGGCCTGGTTGCGCAGACGTTCGCCGTAGTAATTTTCGGCCTGGGCAAGTTCAATATAAAATGGGTTTTGATTTCCATTGTTAAAATATGGTCGAAAACTGGTACATCTCGCCGAAGTACCTCCGTATTTTCGAAGAACGGCATTTGTTGTACATGCTGGCGAATTTTTTTGGAGAATAAAGCGATATGAGTGTGAAAATTTTCGATTCGAAGTGCCGTGCCGTCGGATCGACGATCGGGAATGGTTAGCCTTTATCATGTTTCATGTATACTAGTAACTTCGAGTACAAAGTCTCGGAAAATATTAGTCCAACAAGGGAGGAATAAAAGGAGAACACACACTATCAAATAGGCAAGTCAATTTCATTTTAAAATTTATATTTTACGACATATTTTTACTATAATATACATTAATATAATATACATTTATACTATAAGTCTATACTGACCCTTGCGAGATTGGGCCGCCTGTGATTATGTCATTCAAAATTGGTTTCTTATCGCATACCCGCACCTTTTTTGTAACTATGACGTCAGCATGTACAATCCGTGCATCTCGAAGATGAGCAAGCTCATCGTATTCGTGTCTGCGTGACTGGTTCCGACAAGAAACCGCCATCGCACTCGAAAACCGCCCACTCAATTTACGTCTACTTTCGCCACGCCTTCAGCCACCTGAAGTTAAAATATGTATCCGTGATCATACTACAGCTTATATTATATTATATTATATATACATATATATATATATATATATATATATATATATATATATATATATATATATATATATATATATATATATATATATATATATATATATATATATATATATATATATATATATATATATATTCATATATATATATATATATATATATATATATATATATATATATATATATATATATATATATATATATATATATATATATATATATATATATATATATATATATATATATTTATATTTATATATATATATATTTATATATATATATATATATATACATATATATATATATATATAAAGTTCATATGAGGGTATTCTAATCTTATCAGCTCTATACTACGGTATTGAGCACTCTACTCATTAGACTTTCCAAAGTCCTTTCCAAACCCTTCTATGGCGCGCTTCGCTTCCTCTGTGGAAAGGACTTTTGTCACTTGCAGCGCGCCAAATATCACCGGTGGAAAAATCCACCGGTGACGTCATTGTTTACATCGCCGATTTGCCGAAGCGGTTTACATTATTATTATTGTATTACAATATTATATTCTCAGGCTTTCTTGTTGAACAAATGTGTACTATTGAAGCAAATAGAGTAAACAATGTAATTACAATTTTGTAGAACACAAAAACCATGTGAAAATACACAAACAAGCATTACATTGAGTAGGCTATATTTAAAAGTACAGGGTGTCGAAATAAACTTTATTAATACTGTCACGTACCGAAGATGCATCTAATGATTCTAAAATTTCCTCACTAGTTTCGGGTTTAGTTTGGGTTTCTTGATCTCGATTACTGATTATTAATACAAAATCATTTGTTGAGAAAACAACGCGTATTTTTACCGGATTTTGAACTCTGGCGACGTCTTCTCGTTGATCACAATCGCCGCCTCTCTGCTTCGCGGTTACAGCTAGTTGTCTGATTCTTTTCAATTAGATTAACTTCTACTACTAATATTAAATCGCTCGCGAACTGAATCAACTTTCTATAATAAGTCTAATAAATTACTATTCTTGTCGGCACAATTACGGCACACATTGTTAGACAAACAACTGTCCAGATTCAATAAGTTTTTACATGCACTCGTTTTTGTTGATACATTGAACAGCTTTCGGCGCTTACTTGGGTCAGTTATTTCGTTTCCACACTCGGTGCAAACTGTTTCATTCGAGGACAAAGAAATATCAATTCTTGGGAATGTTTTTGTGTTTTTGTAGACCAATTGACGGCGCGGTGAAGTAATTGTATGAAATGTACACACCCCTTTTATGTCAAAATTATTCGCGCCAAAATTTTTAATGCGATTTAAATTCCTGCAAGGGACACAAGTCGACCACTCGCGACTTCGTCGCTCGGGTCGCGTGTTCCCTCCCCCGCGCCCTCCTCCCCCATGGTCGAC